TTATTTTTTGATGGGCTCCTCTGGTGGGTCCCCCAGGCAAAGGCTTTGTTGGCATTCACAGAAGATTCAAAAGATTTTTGTAGACCGAGATGAGTCCTGTCCCCAGACTGACTCGCAGATTCATGGGCGTTCTATGCCATATTCCTTAAGACACTAGCATAGGGACAAAGAGCTTTGCTTTCTAGTACGCGGGATTACAGTATGATGACACAACCACAGAAGCATAACTTCCGATGAGCTCAAATGTGGCACCAGTCACTCTCCCAACTCCTCGTTTTCATGGTTGCTCATGTGCAGTCCCTGACAGATGCCATGGCTGAACTGTTAGAAGCTCTACTTTCATGGCTTAACATCCTCTTTTAAACTGTCACTCTCTTGATGGTTAGAAGTTAGAACATTTTGGGTCAAAGCTTGAGAGGGACGGCCTTATTTGATGAGAAAGAGCAGAACCCAACTGGCAGTTCTCCAGGGAAGTCTCTTTAACATGGCCAAAACCGCCCTAAGATTAGCAACCCAGATCATGAGACTGAAAGATATCTATCCACCCGGAAAGTTTTTCATGCAAGAAAGAACATCTGATTTGATTCATGAGAAGAGACTAGGAAACCAAATAGAAGAGAGATGGTTTTATTGATGAATGGAGCTAGATTTTGGGCCCGAAATCCACATCTTGCTCCAGATTTGAACACAGTACAAGCTTTTACATAACATCTGGTTTAAAGTCACACAGAAAAACAAGTAGAACAGGAGATCTGTAGTTGCAGTGATGATAATAAATTAGAAGAAGATACACAAGTTGTCAACAAAGGGAGACCAAGAACCAGTTACACACACGTTTCTCCCTTTCTTCTATAGTTAAGTCTTGTTAGTGGTTGGTTAAGCCAAGAGCCAGAAGTTCTTCTGCCATCTGGTGCTGATAAGATAGCCACCCATGCCACTGCTTTGCTTCCTCACCCCAAATGTAAGGCATTCTGCATTGTTGATGCACTGCTCCACGAAGTCCTCCTCACTGCTGGTCCCACACAGGCTGCCAAAGCCCAGACAACAGAATTACACAACTAGGTATCAAGATTAAGATCAAGAAGGGATACTACTAGAAATGCAACTCATGAAGAGAGAGATCTACCCACCAGTTGATGAGTGGAGAAGGTTTCTTCTGACCCAAAACCAGAACAGATACATCAAGCTTCTTCACTTGGCTGATCACTGTGGACAGCTTTGGTCCTTGTATCACTAGAGCCTCCACTTCCACCTATCAACCCACAAAGAAGTAAGGAGCAAACGATAGAAAAAAGGAAAAGCCAAACAAATAAAAGAAAAAGAAAGAAAGATAAAGAGAACCATAAAGCACAGGGATCAGAGGGATTCAGAATGGAATCTGACCCATCTGTTGAAATTCAAAGTGAGGGGAGAAAGAGAGGGAAGTAACAAGAAAAGTTAGAAACTAAAAGGAAAGAACAAGCAAGTTAAAATATGGTTATAAAAAAAGTAAAGAAATTAAATAAAAGAAAGTGTAAAAGAAATGGACCAGCATGGCATCTGTGAGAATACAACTGTGAAATGCAAGGTTAGGAGAAAAGAGAAAGAGAAAAGAAAGAAAAATAAATGCATGCATCTCTCTCTCTCTCTCTCTTGCACAGAGAAGGAAAAATACCTCAGGTTTGCAAGCTTTGCAAAGGGACCCAAGAGAGTTGGCAAGGTAAGGAGAAGAATCAGACATCCTTTCAGAACATTTGTAACTGTGAGAAGGGGGAGGAACAATGTGGAGGAGAGTGAGCAGATCACCTTTGTTGGTGACATGTGTGAGTGCCCACATCATAGCATGTTTGGCACGAGCAGATTGGTCAACCACAACCATCACTCTCTTCCTCATCACCAACCCACCATTCTCAACCACACCTCCACACATCCTAAGCCCTTCCATTTGCTTCAGACTTCTCTGGCACCCTTCACCACCACCATATTTGCTCTTCTTGCTCCATCTGTTTGATGATGAGCTCCAACTATCTCTGCCACTCAGCTGCCTAAAAAATGAAGCTGCACTAGGCATCTTTGCTTGCTTCCTCAGCTCTCCTCCTCTCCCTCACTGTTTAAGTAAATCTCCAACCCTCTGAGCAAACTATTTGAACTGATGTGGATTCTTGGGGTTCTAATGGAGGCAAGAAGAAGATGGGGAGAGAGATCTTGGAAGATTGAGACTGGAAATATGGCTGGTGTACTATATGTTCTTATAGAGAGAGACAAAGAAAAGGTAGAGGAGAGAAGAGACAAAAAGAGTGAAAGGATGGGGAGGTGATGAGTCTATCCATGTTTTATACTTCTGCAGGTGAAGGTCACGGGAAATCACTCCATTTAACCTAAATGGGTATTTGTAATTTGATGGTAAACTAGAAAGAGTGGATTCTCTTTTCCATTCTCAGACCCAGACCCAAAACCCTCTCTCTCTCTCTCTCTCTCTAAATACAGAGAAGTGTGTGGAGAGAGGGTAAAGGAATGAACGTTTAGTAAGCTTTCATGGCATGCTGCAAACAGGGGTCGTATAAAGAAGACCTGATCTAGACCATTCGATCGGTGGGCCACCATACCAAACTATAAACTTTTCAGAAAGAATATCAGGACACCTGGATACAAAATTTGTGGGTCTCAGACTCTCAGTGTCTCGCATGTGTGGTCTATTAAACTAATTGGATCCAATCGGATCATTCCACTGTAACATGTGAGTTTTATCTCCTTTTGTGTCAGGGTACCTCTAATGAAGGGTCCACCCAAATAAACTCCATGCCCTCAACCGTCCAATTTAATACGGATCAGTGGTTGTGATCATTCCAAATGCTGGCTAAGAAAGGCCCATTCCACAAACCCATTAAATTTTAAATAAATGGGCCCTGATCCCTACACGCCTGCCACGTGTACTTTTATTAACCCACATCACACTAGATTCGGGAAATCCTTTAATGATTTCTGCAGGCCTGACCAACTTCTGTTTCTCTTTCTATCCTACTCCTATTTCTATATAAAGTGGCCTCTGTACCATACATAATACAATAACATTCTAAAACCTAATTACTTTTAAGAGGTTAAAATAGTAATTTTGTACAACTGCGCATCTTAAATGTTGCTTCTCATCCACTCCTAAAGTTCATGGAACTTTATAATAATAACATAATAATAATATAAAAGTGATTAGGGGCACATCTCATTTTTATATTACATATTTCAAAACATGGCAGGGTCATGTATGGGTGCAGATTGGATACCCGATTCAAAGATTTTCCACTGCATCGGGCCTAGGTTTCTGGTCCGAATTCATTCAAATTTTGGCAAAATCTCAATCCAATCACACATAATTCTTAATATAAACAATCTTTAATTACACAGATTCGATCCTCTTTTTCTTTTGATCCTGAGTTTTCAATATTTGAGGCGATGCTAAGTGATTATTTCAACTGCTGTGTTTAACAATTGTTGATTCGAATAGTGATTATTTCATTTGGCTTTGAAAATCGTTTAGGCAATCAATTCTATTTCATCCCTGAATCGAAATTTTGTCAAAAACTATTGATTTGGTTAGCAATTCGTTGAGACGAACGGTTAAATCCGCCATTTTTTTTTTAAATGGCCCATTTAAAACATTGTTATGGATTATTGTGTCATCATCAAAAATCTAGAGTTGCAGCTTGAGCGGGCTCAAATTGAGAATATGGTAAAATTTGGATGAACCCACATGATGGAAGTAGCCAAGTAGGCCCATGTAAGAGAGAGAGAATTTGGGGTGGGTGTATGTGTGCCCCACTTTATTAGGACGTGCCCAAATCAGTATCGTATAAAATAAGGGGACTGTTCATTCCAACTAAGAAAAAAATAAGGGCTAACAGGACCTCGTGAAATGGGTGATGTTGAGGGGTCACCAGAGGGGTGCCGCTTTCAAATAATTGCTCCCGAATAATTCGCTACCTCTGTCTGTCAGAAGACTCAGAACTCAGAAGATACCACACTATCCTTTACTGTTTATTATTCTTTTATATTTAAAGAATTAGCAATAGTTGTAACTGTATGTGTCACTGATTTTTTTTTTTTTTTTTTTAAAGAAAAAGCAAAAATATGCTACATAGGGCGGGGGTAGCACCATGGTTTTCAAAACCGGGCCAGACCGAAAAAACTGGGAACCAGTCAGGTGACCGATTTTGCTTTTTCCTAAAATTGGGATTTCTCAAAAAATCATTGATTTTGGTCAGTAAACCACTGATCCGGGCAGTTAATCAAACGAACGGTTTTGACCATTTTTTATTTTTTTAATTGTTTGTATTTTTTTGTCAAAATGGATCGACCGCTCCACCCGGTAACCGGATCCCTGACCTGTTTGGTTTTAAAAACCATTGATAGCACGTCCACGTCCCCGTCCCCGTCCCCATCAATCACCCCAACAAATGTTAACTAAATCCCAAAATTGCACGACGCTCGAATAAGCATGAGTTTTATTTTCAATCCAATCAGCGGCTTGATTCGCTTAGGGGATGTCTCAAGTTTCAATTGACATTTCAGCTTCCAAACCAAGGAGTTCCAATTGGTACTACAATCTGTTATGACAAAGCTCATCGCATTCTTTCTTATAACCCAACTTCATAGAAAACAAACCATTTGGGTTTATCCTGCAAACTAGCCTATCTTCTTTGTCATCCGATGGGATGAAAATAGATTTGATTTTATTCCAACAACAAGAGATAGGAACGAAACCATGGATTTTGTCCTCTAACCAAACCCTCCTATCAGGATCAATCACGTTATTTATGCACAGATTTTCATTTCCCCCTTGCATTGAGCTAGTACAACCATCCATCCATCTATCCTTCCAAAATTGATAAATTTCCCAACTTCCCATCTTATCCCCTTCTTGAAGAGCTTTCTAGCATTTACAATACCTCTCCAACCCAAAGACGGGGATCCTAATTTCGTGATATGAAGCGGCCTTTATGGGGGATTTGGGCATATTACTAAATATGAAAAAAATAAAATAAAACAAGGGTATTTTACATAAAGTTAGAATATACTTAAATTCAAATTTGATTTATTAGTAGAAGAGAGTTAAACATTGAATGTTAAAAGAATCCCAATGCCACAAGTAATCGAGTTGAAATCAGCCCCCTACAACATAGTTTCCCATAATGTCTCACAAAACATTCCCGTTGTGTATTAGGAATATCTCCTATTGATACCTCACTGTTTTTGGTACTTATCATCGGAAGATTGTTCCTGATGAAGGCGTTTATGACAGACTAATGGCATGCTTGCGTGTGGTAGAGGGCGGCGTACAGCATGGACCCAATAGGGACAGTCGCTTGGAGCAAAAGTTGGCATGCGATGCAGGCCCAATGGCACGGCTGCATGCGGCGACCTCGGATGGCCACGCACACAAGGCTAGACCGCATCCTGGCCATCTACGCCCATCTACTCCTAGGCGGTCTCAAGTATAAATAGGAAGTGACCCCCCAAAGGTGAGGCATCTAAACTCTCCACTATAGAGAATTCAATTGTTTCCATTGTGATCTCGTCTGAGCTGTCCTAGTTCAGGCCTTGTCCACCTCTCATCAATCCCTCACTAATTTGATCGTTGGAGTCTCTATCTCGGATTAGCATTTGAAGCCTCTAACGTCTTCTCTCTCTATAGGACCATCCTACAGGCCCTTAGCCATAACGGACCTCGAACTTATCAATCAATCCTCGATTCAAAAAGCGAAATTACCTTATTACCCTCGGGCCATTTAAGGGTGCAAATTATGTTGTGGGGGCTGATTTGAACTCGTAATCGGGATTTCTAATAGGAATGCACCTTTGAACATGTATATTCAGATTTCAGACCATGTACCGTTTTTAGTTTTTTACGCGGCAATCTGTACTAAAATGCTTAAAGGTAAAAGGGTCCCACCAATTACATAAGTAGCAGATCTGGAGTGTTTGGAAAAGCTATGAAACTTGATCCAACGAAAATGTTTTATCTGATGTTGGGTGCAAATCTAATGGCCTCAAAAGAGGCCTATGTATAGTGCAATGGTTTATTCCATCAAGCACCTGAACACTGGGAAAAGAGTGAAAGAGAACGTTAGTTTATGGGAGTGTGTGTTTGTTGTCAATTAAACGCCAAACAAAAAAACAGAGATTTTGGTTTTTGAAAAGGTGAAGTGAATAGAGACGGAATTTGCATTCGGCACCTTTCTTCTCTTCTTTCGCCAACTGATCTCGTGAATGGTAAACCAATTGGCAATTGCAGGTCCACGCCTAGGGTAGCGTAGCCTCTCTTATGTGGGCCCTCCTCTCCTCTCCTCTCCGGGGCGTTATTTTGTGGGCCCTATTTGACGCGTTGTACTAAAAGCGCAGCATTCAGCTCGGTCGGTTCAAGACAAATTCGGCTTAGTTCGGGTCTGCTCATGCTTCGGTACAGTACAGATAAACCCTACCCCTAAATATTCATGTTAGGGTTGATCCACATGTCGAATAGGTTAAGGCTTAAGGGTTCAACTAAAATGTTGGTGTAAAAAGAGGTGACCCAACAATGATCCGATCAAAATTGAGTTTACATCTCCTCCTCACAAGAGGCCGCCCCACAATATTTCATAGAACATCTCCGCTGTGTATTGTGAACATCTCCTGATAATGACACTATTGATTCTGATCTATCATTGGGAGATATTCTTAATACACAGTGGGAATGTGCTGTGGGACATTGTGGGGAGGAGATGTTATCTCATTGAAATTTTGTTGGGATTGGCTCGTTTCGACCCATATCGCCTTCTGGTTGAAGTCACTAGATAATGACCCTAGCTCGCTTTCCGCTTTTCGGACGGGGTGTATTTATAAATGTAAGATGGGTCGACTCTTCTGTACTGCTATAAATAAAATGAAATATAAACGTAAAACAAAAAGCTGGAATAGCTCAGTTGGTTAGAGCGTGTGGCTGTTAACCACAAGGTCGGAGGTTCAAGCCCTCCTTCTAGCGATTGTAATGTTTTTCTAAGGATTTTTTCTTTTTCCTTTTCGCTAGAAAAAGACTTAAAAAGAAAAGTACTATCCCTAATTATGAAAAAAAAAAAGAATACAAAATGAAAGGAAAGGAAAAAGAAAGCCTTACTATTTCAGTCTACGGTTTGGCAGTGATTGATTCAATGCGATAGGGTTGTCCTCTTTTTGGGACAGAGTCTTTTATAATTCATGGCTTCAATGATAGACATGTACTTAAACTTTTTAGTATGGCGAGTGTCCCATAGAATGTCTACTTCTATGCTGTCTACATTCTACAGTCATGGCTCCCCATGGGAATCACGGGGCTGTCGACATTGATGGATCAAAGAACCACTGAATTCTGCTTGCCCATGCTAATTGCATTACACCTAATGAAAGATTTC